CCACACCCGATATCACCAGCTGTCCGACCATAGCTAGCGCTTTTAATATGAATAGACTGATCTTTCTCACATAGTAGTTGAATATTCATATCTCTCTTGCCTTTGGTACCACATGTAGTCTGTATTCCTTTATCAACTGAACAATCCTGTGCACTTTCAAAAGCAGGTTCGTCGACTGCAATGGGAGCGACTGCAAATGAAATAATAATTGTTAAACATATCATTCAAGAGCAAATTAGCAATGCTGTGACACATAATTAATGAAATTAGTATTCTGTTGACTATCATATCATTTTCACTCTATGACAGCTTGGTCATAAACACTTATTTAAAACGCTTCAGGATTCGCCTTTTGTTTAAGTAAAACGTGTTAGTAATGTTAGTTTAGTGTGCCCCATTTCAACAGCACAAATTGTTTTTGAATTCTGGAACTAGTGACAAAAAATACATAAAAATGTACAAAATTGAAAACAATAATTCATAATTCTGACATAGCATACAGATAGTTTACCTTGTTTTGGAAACGCCTCTGCTTCATCAGGTGGATAGTCAGTGACAGAAGGAGATGTAGCGACTACTTGCATACCGGCTAGAAAATAAATTATTTGGTTTGAAATCAAATCAGATAGTTATATTACTAATATGTCAACACACACACCACAGATTTGCTACCCTATTTTTGTGTTGCATATAATATTTAATATAATACACGCTATGACCATTTATAAAATCGATTTCTGAATGTCTCGTACCATAAAAATTATACTGAAATTTGATTCAGAACAACGATTAATGTATTGGAATGTGTAACACTACTATACCTGGCTCTATTACAGGTAGTGATGATCCTGAAATGAAAAAAACACGTTACATAGCAAAATTAATCCCATTGCGCCAATATATAGCAATGTATCGTTTTACATCCTTACATATATACTCATTATTAAATTATATATGTAATAAATGGTATAAACCTTCACATGATTCTATGCCATCTCCTTGATATCCATCATTACACTGACATCCGAATCGGCCTTCTTTTGTTCCACAGTAGGCATCGGGGTGGCAAGTGACGTCGAAACACTCGACTTCGCCTCCGGTCTCACAAGAGCATTCGCCACTACAGTCTGTCGTCATCCATGTTTCACCATTCTGAAAGAAGATAAATGCTTGATTACGACAATCAATAGTGTAAATTACAAATCCGTTTTAGACTAATATCAATTACATTATCTAGTAGAAACACAGCTTACTAATAATGCTAACCTTTCTATATCCACCAGCGTCGTCAACACAACCGCATTCCTCTTCCGGTACACAGTCATTGCCACTTAGGATGTATCCCTCCATGCATTCACATCCTTCGTCACAGGCATCAGGACACGTAGGAGTTTTGCCATAAACACAGTTAGGAGTACACGTGGACATGCACGGGTTATAACGGGAATAAGGTTGACAAGTAAGAGCTAAACAAAAAAGGTACAGTTTAGATTATTATGTGGTTAGAGAATGTGTTATACACAAACACGTAAAAAAATTACTGTTTACAGGATAGATATGGAGATCTTGTAAAATGATTGGAATTATTTTGCTAACATTTCATTGATTCTCCTTACGAAACAGACGCCAAGCTTCACATACACTATTCATTTTGCTCATGCTACTGAATGAGATTGACAGGCTCACAATTGAACTTGTAATACGTTCATCTCAGTGCATAGACTTTCATAATAAAAATGACAATACAAATACTTACGACAGAAATCCGTAGTCCTAAATGTTTTTGGCATAAATCCATAGTCCCGACAAATTTTCATGAACTCAGTCAACGCGGCACAAAGCTGGTCCTCATCGCCCAAGTGACACGTATCAAACAGACAAGAATGGTGAATCGTTTCCCTTTCTTCCTCAACCTTACTGTTCACTGCACAATCTCCGAAAGGTCCGTTAGGATCTAATATCATTCCACATTTGTCATCTGCTTCGAAAGCCTCCACCTTATCAGCACTGCATTGTTCTGGCTGAATTAGAACATCACCACAGCTTCACAGATTGTTTTTAAGAAAAGAAATACGTTAGAACGTGTCACTTTCTAATTACACATAATAAAACAAATTATATTTTTACTGGAAAGTGATATACATTATTACGTATCGCAATATCGACAGTTGCATTAGTATCGCATGTACGATTCATTGAAACCAACTATACATGTTTCTATTACAAATATGTGCACACATATTAATAACGTGTTTATCGCACATAATACAAAACAAATAACGTATATTGAATATCCGTTCACTATGTGTAGAATAGATTAAAGCTGATCATACCTTTGCTCAACTTTCCAACTATTTCCCCAAGGGTTAGAATTTCCTCTCTCGCCATCATTATTTTTATCTCCGTCACAATCTCCACACATGCCTTGCAGATTCCCTGCATATTCTTTTGGTACTCCTATTTGAACTTTACTAACTCCGTCCCATTGTAACCAGAACCCGAGAGCTGTCGACACTAATACCCACCGACCGGCTAATTCTATGTTCAGGCCGTCTACAGAACTTGATGGTAAATTGATGTCATTTCCGTCGAGCTGTAATGCAATACTTAATGCCGTAACAAATGTGTATGTTATAATGAATGTATGAAGTGTATTTATTTATTTAGTATTTTGTTGTTTGTGTGATCCCTCATCATCACTAATTGAATCCGCTTAATTATAAATTTAACAGGGGTACAAGTCAAAGTCATTCATCAAGTTATTTGTTTAATACATTGATGTCCCACAACAGGTAATCTTTATAACGGGAACGTTTTGCTAGCAGGATTAGGCAGAGCGAGAGAATGCGAGAAAGCTTTATTCACGCTCCAACATAATATATCCATGCTATGCTATGCAATGCTTGCGATATACAGACTTGACAAATAGTTTCCTTTTTGACAAAATATGACAGAATGGCGCGGAAAAGTAAAACGTGGTATAATTTGTGTCATATATAAGACTCACTTTATTTTCAGAATAATGCAAAAATACGACTTGAATATTAATTAGCACTGGCACATTCACGTGGGTGAGTTATTACTATTATGTAGTAATAAGTTGGTCAACATGTCTTAGAACAATGCTGTAAAGTTTATAATACACATGTACGTCACCCTCTTGTTATCCCATCAAGTCATACCACTGACTGTTGATTAATACTGATGTGTTATCAGTATAAAGACGCTCTACATACTGACTTATGTGTATTATTCATGCCCTATCCCATCTGATTCCATAGTTACATATACGATACACTCATAGTTGTTCGTTTGAAATTGTCTTGATTCGATTATATATTAATTAATATATTAATTAAAGAAGAGCACCCTCTTTTGCAAGACATGTATTTTTTTAAATTATTAATCTGTGAACTTCTTTTTGCTTGTTTAGACAATAACTATTTAGGCAATAAACTGACGTAATTTACATCTAGCTCAAGTGCGGCAACTCTTCCCAATTTAAATAAGCAAATATGAGCTCAGGAAATGATACAAATGAACGAAGGTATTTCTGTGACTGGCTGTATTATATTTACTTCATTGTAAGACGATACAATTTATACACAAATAGATGCGACTATGGAGTAACTCCGACTAAAGTCTGCAAATGCTTAAACCGTCCAGATGATGGCAGTGTTTCTTACATTACGTAATGCAGCTCATAAGCAGATACACATTGTAGTAAACATGAAATATACTTGGAAATAAATGGCGTATGTTACAAATGTCGGTTATCAATAGAAATATTCAATAAGAGTTATCAGGGTGTATGCCGCCTAGCAAAGAAATAACAAACATTAACTATGAACAGTGATTACTCACCAGTATCTTTTTATCTTGATTTAAGGTGATGACGTGACCGTATACAAACACGGTGACATATAACTGCAGAGTAACAGTGGGTTTCTTGCCCTCCCGATAATCGTTTTTAGATTGTGCCCGGAAATAAGGCGGGTCATGCAGCATGTCTTCAACTAGTAAGTAAGTACAATTTCCCATAAAATCATGGCGTTGTCCATCAAAGGTAAAATAATGAGGATCGCCATATGCACGGCAATAGCATTCATCTATAAAAAGTAAAATAATTTCACTTAGTTCAAAGTTTGATATTATGTCAGAATATTTACATAACTATATCGATACCACACCACTCATTAAAGTGATGTAGATACACATGCTAATACACATCTTCAGACGTACAACTTACTCGTGGGATCTCGAGCAGAACGTCCCCTTGCTTTCCTTAGCTTCTCGTCATCACCGGGCCCTGGAACAGAAAACAAAAAAATCACATATAGTAAAAATGGAGGACATTTGTACATTTTATCAACACATGTGCTATTATAATACGCTTAGTTTATTTCAGTTTATTTTCCCCGTCACTGGAATAGTTATAATAATATACCTCTACGGCAAACGACTGCCGTTTCTGTGTTACAATCCATTGTCGTCATATTCCATTCGTCGTCTTTACTCAAACCAGTACATTCTTGTTCGCCTGGCTCGTTAGTACTCCAGGCACCGTCATACGACCAGTCATCATCGTTTATCCACTCCCATTCATCATCCACTTTATGACCTCCAACCCACCAATGCGTTATCTCCTTTTGATTTCGCTTCCTTTCTTTTCGTTTTCTGCCTTCCTTCCTTTTGCCTTTCCCTCCTTTGCGCTTTCTTTCCTTCGAGCTGCTGCCACTATTTTCTCGCTTCTTCTTCTTCTTCTTCTGCGAATGACATATTTGATAGCGCATTGATCAAATATGCTTAACACGACAATATATATTGATCGGTCATTTCAAATTATCCGGCTGATCATTATATTTCTAAAATACGATTTCAGCATAATATTAATAATATTATACCAGATTTTTTTCAATGACATGTGGTGAAAATGTTAAAAATTTCAATGAGTTACCAATGAGCACTAGGATCATTATAAATTACATTCAACATATTTCACTACTGTATTGACATTGGCTAGATCTCTAATTATAATGTGTCAATTTGCATATCTTGGAAGGTAGTTCGACTTCCATCATATGCCCCAATAACTATTTCTCGTTCATTAATAATATATTTTTGATGATAAACGATAGTGTTCATCCACTTTCAATCATTAAGGGCGTTTATGGACATAGACACAAAACTGTCGATATGAAACCAAATTACAGTCTACACATTGTGACTCACTCACTCACTGCCTGAAATCGTAACTATAATGTGTGCTCAGCTAAATTACTGAAACAAAATCCTCATCAATATATTCGCTTGTTTCTACTATTATATTTCTGGTACAATTGTGCTCACTACTAAACTATTAAATAAGCTCGTCGTTCCATAGATTATTAGAACTTACGTTTGCAAGGTCGGCAATAGTCGTCTTAAGAAACTCGTGTTCTCCTTCACTGCGCACGCTGGCTATCATGTAGCCTCTTCTATTGCATACTTTGGCAGCACTTTGGAATTGTCGTTGGCGTTTGATGAATCGATAACATGTTCCTTCATATTGAAATTCATTTGACTTGCACTCTGCAAAAGTAATATATTTGAAATAACACCTGACTTTAATTTACACAAGGCACGCATTTTTAATTGTGCCATAGCTCTGTTCCTTACACAAGTTGTTGTAATAACACACTACAAATAACAGTAGTTTTACTGGCAGATGTAAAAAAACAAAACAATTACCAATTATTTGAGGCATATCTAGGGCTGGAGCTGCGGCAGCTGGCTGGATTTCTAGTGTATAAATTAAAAACAAATTATTATCATAAATGCTCTAACACAATATAAACAGTCAGAGAAAAAATGTTTCAACACAAAACTTATTTAGTATAAATATTACCTGCGTTAGTATCCGATTGACCTGTAAACAAAATGAGAACAGTTACATAAAGTTTTGTGTGAAATCTTGTTAATTCTGATGAATGCCGAACTCGTTGTTCCCTTGAGGATTTTTTTAGAATAGTAAATGGCAAATAACATATCACATAATTCAGTCAGATTGCATATGTCATACTCACAATTGCATTCATAATTGATAGTGAGGAATTTCATCTCCTTCTTACTGCATCCATCTTTTCCGAAATTCTTTCTCGCAGTTACCGGGCATTCGTGTTTGCCGTCACACTGTCTCTGTACCACACTCAATGCATTTGGTGCTTTGCATTCGTCGGATGGCACCGGACCCTCGTCACAGCCCATGTCACCGGCGCTTCGTCCGTACGTTACATTTTTTATAACAATGCGGCCTTCTCCGCAGGATACTTGTACGCCGACTTTCTTTACACCACATGATTTGACAGGTGCGGGTTGTTCGTTACACACGCCGTCCTCTGGGATTCCTTGTGCACGTACTGGTGGGAAGGATATTGTCAGTGTTATTACCAACGCCTTGCATTTAGCATACACGTACCCACATTGTATCACGATAGCACATAAAACATACAACACTAGTTCCATTTTCGCTTGCACAGTAGATTACAAATATCTGTACTGTATATAATGGCATAACTCGATACTACTAATTTAGTTGAAGGGAGTGGTCGTCGCGCCACGCATGCGCAAATTTTGGTTTCAAGTAAACAAAGTTTGACTGTTGCGCAGACCAACGGGTACAAACTGGGAGGTTATGAAGCTTTAAAATGTATTTTGTTGTCGATTGGAAGGTATCGAAAGAGTAGCCGGCGGTGATTAGTGCAAGTGGTGTCCAGGATAAAACTCGTACTTGTGCTTCCCTTTGAAAAGCGCATTGGATTGTGGGAAAATCAATGTTTATCAACACAAATGTCGCACAAGCGCGGCGCAACGACCACCGCCCTTTAAACTTTCGCATGGAATGAAACATGGCTAATATTGGATACTGTACATTCTTGAATATTTCTTACCTTCTGGAACAGGAATTTCAGATTCTGAAATAAGACAATGAAAATGAATTAATTAAACATAACAATAAAGTTTCACAGTCGCCATATACAATTGCTTGAGTCTCGTTTTTAAAGAAAATAAAGAACTTTTCAATTTACAAACATATTTATTTATCACTCGGATCAACAGACGCTTGCGAGAGTTGACATGAAAGAAAGTAATCATGACTCCACGGAAAACAGGTTCACTGAAGTCAGGGACAGCACACGGTACCGGAAGTTGATACCTCCCATTCGAAAAGATGGCGTCTTCTATTCGATTGTCAAAGCAAAACGTGCTCTATTTTACATCACAATCTCCCATTTACGAGGCGTACAGACTAACCACGGTGTTACACCCTTATAACCTACGATGTCTAATCGACGACGTTTAGTTTTAGGTAAAACTCTGTTGGAACGAATGTCACAATTTAAATATGACAAAAAACAATACTCACGTTCACAGGTTTGTATTCCGTCACCTTGGTAACCATCATTGCAATGACATCCAAATAAGCCATCTTTCGTTCCACAAAAGGCATCATTGTTACACGACATGTCATTACATTCAGGTTCGCCTTCGTCTCCGCATGTACACGTGCCACTACAGTCCGGTTTCATCCATTCAACGCCAGCCTACATTAATTAATATATTAAATCATTGTTATAATGTTTATAAGTTTAAAGCAGCCTAGTGTAAGCTGTGGGTAACAACTGGGCGGCTTACAGTATACGAACTCAAAACAATGGAATACGAGTCGAACCTTGTGATACTTTCCATCGTCGTCAACGCAGCCACATTCTTCTTGTTTAACACATTCTGTGCCACTAAGTGTATAACCCTCATCGCACACACACCCTTCGTCACACGCTTCATTGCAGTCATAAGTTTCGCCATAAACACAATTAGAAGGACAGGTAGTGGTACAGTGTGAGTAAACTGAATTACTTCCACACGAGTAAGCTAGAAAAAATAACAAACATGTTGATGTAAAAAAAACAGTTTGTGACAAACACTTTCAGGAGTTCAGGTAATGAAATATATGTTTTTATTTATAAGAATAGTTTCGTTATACGATGGTATATTATCAATGCGAAACCATTTATTCTCTGAACCGCAAGTGTTATTGCCGTTGGTGGCGTGCTTGATGAACAACGAATTACTCTGCCAGAGGCATATTTTACACCCATATATATGGGATTACGCGTTTTTTAAAGATCCACAACCTTATTTATAGGCAAATATTATATTTATGTATATATTTAAATAAAGACGTGATATGCAGTAAAGAAAATAGCAATGCAATTCTGTCGAAAATATCAGAAAATCAGCGCAGATATTTGCATACAGACGGGGGGGGGGGTGCGAGATCTGCTCACCATCTCTCGAGCATGCTCCTCCGGAAAAATTGAAATTTACACCCTCTAAAACGATGTTTCCTGCATTTTGAGGGTCAAGACAGGCATTCATCTTCAACTATGTCGCATCGACACAAATACACAAAGGGTTTTCAGCTTGATGGGGTGGGGGTGGGGTGGGGCGCGACTGGCCCCGGTGTCGCTGCCACTTATAAAGTGGGTTAAGCGAGGTCATAATAAATCGTTTATCTTTCCAGTGTATTCAGTAGCATCAGAGATGCTCAAGTGTTCGTCAAGAACAGAAGAGTATTCGATTATTCAAATTCACTTATGGCAGCGACTGCGCATGCGCATTCGGTTCGTGCTTGGCGAATGAATGATCCACCATGTAAACAAATAACCAGACTCTAGATTCTATTTTTGAACCCTACACGATGTACAAGACTATATTGCTTACACTAATATATTGTAACTCTTGTTTTAATATATAATTTGTATTCAATTGTGAAATAATGCTTACCACAGAAGTCGGGATTCCTGAACGATTCTGGCTCGAATCCGTATACTCTACACACTTTCATGAATTCTGCCAATGCACCGCATAGCTGGTCCTCGTCCCCTAGGTGACACATGTCGAACACACAGGAATGGTGGGCTTCTTCTCTTTGATCTTTTACGATGTCGCTAGTTGCACATTCACCAAACGGCCCATCTGGGTCAACGATCATACCGCACTTGTCTTTGGCTTCGAGCGCCATTTCATCTTCATCGCTGCAGTGAGGGGGGTCTACTACTACGTCTGCACAGCTATAAAAACACACAAAGTGGGTGGATGAAAAGGTTTTGCCAGTGCAATTTGTGTATGCATTATTTCTATCTCGATATTTGTCCTGCACATACGATGGTTCTACATATATCAACGTTGTCGCTAACACGAAACTATGCAAATAAACCCCACAACTCCGGAATACAGGCGCAAACCTGCGTCATCAATCGATGTATCTATAATAGTTGTTTGCTAGTTTCAGGGCCTGTTTTTTAGTTTACCATGGTAGCAATTGTAATGTTTCGGGTGGTGTAATTACTTCCATATTTGTACATATCTGTTGGTACTTTTAAGGATGTTCCTATCTCAGAATTACCTTTGAAATTAAATGAATTGGTACAATAGGAATAATCACATTCAAAGGCATGTTGTAAAACTTGTCAAAATCTCGTAGTGTACTTGCTCTGAGTTGTTCAAGTTATTCCGTAATTTAACCACATTTGGCCTGATTAAAAACACCCTCTCGACCAATCATAAAGAAGTATCCCGGCAAATGAAAAATGCATTATGCAATATTTTGTGCAATACTACTGAAATCTTCCTTACCTTGACTCGACTTTCCACCGATTTCCCCACGGATTTGGGTTCTTGTGCTCGCCATCATTGCTAATATCGCCGTCACAGTCACCACACATTCCTTGCAATTGACCAGCATAAGATTTTGGTACACCAATTTGAACTTTACTAACTCCATCCCACATCAACCAGAAACCATATGACGTCGATACCAATACCCAATTCCCAGTTAATTCAATACCAAATCCTGTTTCAGGATTAAGTGGAAGTTCTTGTCGGACTCCGTCCAGCTACAAAGTGACAAGACATAATGTAAATTATAATACTTACAATAAGCTTACATAGTTGGCTACAAAGTACAAATAATAAATACGTGAAAATGTTAATAATTGCCCCTTATTGCATATCCAAGTCTCGCCACTCGAGATTATTTAATATTTGTGGCGAAAGAACGTACTTAGACCAGACAACAAGTTTGACAGCTGTACGTATCTTAAAAATCATTTGAAACGATGTATTATCGGCAAACATTGACGCGACGATCACCAGCGGAGAACAATTATGTGTGTGAAGCCAACGATCAGGTGATTTTTTGCGCAAATAAAAGAAATACAATCAGGCAGGTATGGACGGCGTCCGATGAACAAGACTTTGTCTTTATCTGACACGATAAACAATGTTCATGCACTCAAGTATGATGTGATATATAGAGAATTCAGAATAGTTAAAGGGGCACCTTCCAGTTAAGCCTAATCTCACAACAAATTTACTTTCTGGATTAAAATGGATAACAAAAGATAGATTAACATTGTAAACAACATAAAAAATAGTGTCCCATGATTCTTTGGTGCAATCCATGGGATTGAGCGGTTCCCCTTTAACCAACATAAGTGTCTGCTTCAAAATCTGAACAAAAACGAGAACATACATAAACTAATGCGATAAGCAATGTGTTTAATATATTTACATAAACAATTTTGCCTTGATCCAACTTAACAACATGTCCGAATGCATAGACATTGACATAGTCCTGTAACGTGACCGTGGGTTTCTTTCCGGAGCGGTAGTTATTCTTCGATTCAGCTTTAAACTGTCCGTTAAGCAGGTCTTCGACGAGCAGATAGGTGCAGTCACCCATAAAATCATGGCGCCGCCCATCAAACGTGAAATAGTGTACATCTCCGTATGCACGGCAGTAACAATCCTCTGGAAGATAATTTCAGTAGGAATAATCGATTTAAAACTGACAGTATGCTGAATGGTGTTCTTAACACAGCCAAGCAGTATGTGCATATTTGAGAGTGTAGAATAGGTTGAATAGATGTATAATAATAATAATAATAATAATAATAATAATAATAATAATAATAATAATAATAATAATAATAATAATAATAATAATAAAATAATAATACAATTTTTATTGTTGAGTTAACTATCTCATCACCATGACGTAATATTGAAACCAGAAAGGTTTCAGCAGTAATGCACAGTCATACATACATTTACATAGCGTAGACTTGAATATTTAATTTTGATTTTTATCATTAGGAGAAATCCAGATAACGTTCGAGATTATGTGATCAAATTAATATAGTCCCTTTTGCATTTTAATGTATCGGTTTCCGATACGTTTGTTTCAATACCTATAGACTGGATTTACGAACATGCAGTTGACAATAATCACAACATTCAACAAAATACAATGTTCTTACGCTGACTGACTGAATGGTATGATATACATAGTAACATAACACAAATAAGTTTTGTTATTCAGTAATCTATCTTGAAATAAATACACGACTAACTATCAACGTAGCCAACAATATCCGAAAAAATACTAAAGCCATTCGTCCCAGTTTTATCGTTATCTCCCATAGCAATTACACCGGTCTGGGTTAGAAAAACAACTTAAATTTGATATTATTAATAATTGTAACAGTGACATACTTGTTGGGTCTATCGGACTCCTTCCCCTTGCTGCTCTCATCCTTTTTTCATCACCAGGTTCTGTAGGAATGGAATAGTAGAATACAATAAACTGAATATCACGTACCCAGGGTAATCATTACACCTTAGACATGTGACCTGATTTCTAAGGCGTATTACCATTCCGATGATCTACTATCGCCCACTACAATATACTGCCTCACAATGCCGTTCTCTTCAATTACTTGCCGCTAATAATACTATTTTAACTTATGTACTTTTTTAATGTGTTACATTCTCTGAAAATTCAGGGAATTGATAAATGCGATGCCGTTGGTGTAGAATAAGGGTTCGTAGTAATCTCTTGAATATACAGTTTTCGTGATATAAATTGTACAAATCAATCTCGATGAATAAACGTCCCAGTGACCTTATTAATTTGAAATACACTTACACTCAGATAACATGCAGAAAATTCTGCATGATAATTTTGAATTACGTGACATTAAGTTATAAAACATAAAAACATAAAAATTGTCATACCTTCCATAGCTATCCTAACCCTAATTTACTAATTTGTAATACGCATCGTGCGTTGAATAACAAAAGTAATTCACAATCTTGTTTCAACCTCGTGTCGCCATTTTGCAAGTCGACGCAATCGAAGACAAGGTTAGTTCAGTAATACTTTTTATTGATAAATAGTTGATATCGTACCATACAAGTGTCCCAGGTTACGTTTATTCACCCACAGAACATTTGGTATGTACTGTTTTGATACGATACTATTTCCGAGAGATAACCACGGACCCCTATGTTAAATCAACGCTTCTAACCAGAATGCATTTTCTTAGAAATGGTAGCTTCCATATAACAAATCTACAATTATGTTTTTCTCAAGTGAGGATATGTTACTACAACATGGCCAAGAGTAGGTTAATTACTTCTAAATGTATTGTTAAACAATTAACAAATTATAATATAAAAACACGGATTTCTTATATAACTATTCACATTGATTTCACTAAAAAGTGTTATAATCACCTTTTCGACACAAAACGCCTGCTTCAGTTGAACATTCCATGGTGGCAAGTTTCCAATCCGGAGTCTCATTCAACGCCGCACACGTGTCGGCTCCTGGTTGATTCGGATCCCAATCATCGTACGACCACTCGTCACCATTTGCCCAACTCCAACCGCCATCAACGTTTTGTGCAGAAACCCACACAGATTGACTCGGAGGAAAGCGCTTACTAAATTTTTTCCGTTTTCGTAATTTCTGTAGATGAGAAATAGAATTAATAACTTGAGACTGTAAAAAGGAATATGAACGACATTACGAATTTATAAGGAGGCGAATAGAATGCGCCAAAAAAGCTACATTTTTCGTCTATGCAAGGCAAAATTTAAACATCGCTGAAGATTTGAGAATAAATAATACATATTCAGGTTGAATAAATCTACGCAATTGAAATATTTCGCCTGGAACATTGCGACCAATGTGTTAATAATGCGATCACCTACTTCAAAGAAGGAGGACATGCTCGTCTTGATAAATTCCGCTTCTTCCGCACTTCGAACGCTGGCCATGACAGAACCGCGTCGGCTGCATCGTTTGTTGGCTTTTTCAAAATCGACTCTTCCATGGAAATACCGGTAACACGTGTCACCGAACAGAGCGTCACGTTTCCCTGTGCATCCTGAATTGAAGAATATATATTTCTTGTAAAACATTGGAAACTGACTGTCATTTTGCAACAATTGTCATGTGACTCTTATGTTTCTAATCATGTGCTTCGATTATATTTTTTTTCATATGTATTCACCTGTGCTAGTATGCTGAGAAACATGGAATACATTAGTAATGTTAGGACGGCAAAAACAACGTGTATGCTATATGGTCCTGGTTTTGTAAATACTAAAATGCACCACGACATTAACAAATCATATTCATGATATGGAAACCACATCCCTGTGAAATTTATGAGACTGTTTCCTGCTCGAATGTAGTAATTTGGCCAGATGTGATGAATTAATATAAGAACTAAATATTACACGTGGAATGTAAAGGTCCACGCGCAATTTATTGACAGTATCATTTTTTTTAAACGTTTGCATTTGAAAACGTGCTACCGATACTGTTGCGATAACTTGCGTTTGCAAGTGAAGCAGTATGAGTCAGTGGTAATATTTATCATAATCGTGTATTTGAGTATATCTGTACAAAAATAATTTTATTGTTGTTTATTTCTTAGCAAGATTAATGCATATTATAATGATGTGCGTATATATTTGAGCATAACAAAAGACAGCGCAGTTTAGTCGAAGCGTATTTAGAAAGCAGATCGAAACAAACAACTGTAAGCAAATAACACCGAAGGTAAATACTATGTAAAATTATAGTAAACACGTACT